CATAAACCGAGGTAAATCCTTCGGTTATAGCTTAGATCTATCGATTTTGAGAGGGTTTTAGGCTTAAAAGAGGTTAGATCTAGGTTCTAGTGGAAAACAGAGAAATTTTGGGGTGATTTTAAATTTTTCGGCCATCGTGAACGGTGGCCGGAGATGGTGTTAGCGGCGGCCGGCCGAAGGCTTTAAGAGAGTAAACAGAGAAAAAAAATTCTCTCAGTTAGAGAGAGAAAGAAAAGAAGCAAATGAGAAGCTTTGGCCCTTAGGGGCCGGTTATAGGGCATTTATACCTAACATGAAACGACGTCGTTTCATGATGGAACTGTGTGTTTTGGCTAAAAGGGTAAATTCCGTCCGCAGTACTCCAAGTTTGTATCTTTGCAATTTAGTCACTGAAATTAGAACTTGGGGACTTTTAATTCGGCTTCTTATTTTTAATTTTATTTATTTTAGTCCTTTATATAAAATAATATACATTTTAGGTAAATAACATATTTAGTCCTCTAATTTTAATAATTAATATTTTAATCACGAACAACATGTTTTAATTTGTTTTAATTTAATATTTGAATTTGATATATATTTATTTTAGTCCCTAAATTAATAAATTAGTAAAATAACATGTTTAGCCAATATATTTTTAAATAGCTAAATTAGGGTATTTTAATTTTTAATATGTTATAATTTAATCACTAATTTCAATACTTTCATTTATTTTACAAGTTGTATTACCTTTTTTATTTATTTTAGTCATTGTTTATTTATATTTATATTTATATTTTATATGTTTATATATTTAATTATTATTTTTATTATTATTATTATGCAGTCATATAAATATATATAATAAATAATATTATATATATATATTAAATAAAAAACATATTTGTAAATTTAATTTTATATAAATTACTTTTAAGGAAAATAATCATATTTTAATATTTATTTATTTTTTAATATTAAGAAATGAGCTGTCTTAAAGCACCTAGAAGTCCTTTTCCGATATTCTTAAATAAATAAATATCCTATTTTTATAATTTATATATATTAATTATTTTTATAGAAATGTTTTATTAATATTTATTTATTTATTAATATTAAGAAATAGGCTGTCTTAAAGCACCTAGAAGTCCTTTTCCGATATTCTTAAATAAATAAATATCCTATTTTTATAATTTATATATATTAATTATTTTAATAGAAATGTTTTATTAATATTTATTTATTTTTAATATTAAGAAATAGACTGTCTTAAAGCACCTAAAAGTCATTTTTTGATATTTCTAAGTAAATAAATGTCTTATTTATAAAAATAAAAATATATATTAATATATTTTCTTAAAATTATATTAATAAATTTGAAATAACAAGATTATGAATTAAATATATTTTTAAATTTCCAATAATAGAGACAATTAATAATTAATAAAGTACTAATTTTAGGTGTTTTAGGGGTGCTAATACTTCCCTAAACGTAACCGATCACGAATCCTTTTTATTAAAATTTTTTGGTTATACGCATATCAGTTTATCTTTTAAATTATGTTTTTTTAAAAAAACTATTTTAAAAGATTGTTTTTAGGTATTTGACCTACCTAATCCAAAAAATGTCAATGGCGACTCCCAAAACATTTTTTAAAATCAAAATCATTTACTTATTCATTTTATTTTTCCCGCCAAGTAAAAAATTTTGTACCCGGACGAAAACTGGTTACTACAAGGCTCAAGGACATACTCAATTCTTTGAGAGTTATTTTACCTTTAACTTGCTGGTGACACATGTCATTATCTGGTTGGAAAAAATGTTATATTAAATAAATTAAAATTAAATAATAAAAAAAGCTCTCTAATCATATGGACATATGATTGGGTGATTAAATTTATTGAATTAAATTAAAATAGGACTAAGTTGAAAAAAATGTATAAATATCGATGATTAAATGTGTAATTATATCAATTTTACTAATTGGTGCATCTGCACTTCCGTTAATTGTTAACTATTAGTGATATGATTGAATGCATTTAAAGAGTTGCGTGGTTTGATTGACAATAATTCAAAAATAATGGTCAAAATGAAAATAAGATATAATTAGATGGCCACTGATATAGTTTACACTAATTTATTTGGACAAAATCAGCCATGGAATTTCATTTTAAAAGATAAATAACGAAAGAAACCGATAAGGGTTACGAATCCATAATATAAGAAAAAAATAATCCATGCAACTAATTTAAGAAGCAAAGATTATAAGATGTGCTTTTAGGGTTAAATTGCATTCTTTTAGGAAGTGCATGGAGTAGTCTCCTCTATATAAGTTATTTTGTTTGAATTCTCCAGTCTTCATATAGTTTGAGAATATTTATACGGAGAGGGAGCAGATGTTAAAAATATATATAAAGGGACTAAGCACATCTGACTGATTGGTTATTTGATTAAACTGCTCATCTTTATTTTCATATATTCTTTCAGATCAAAAGTTTTAGACTTGCTAATAATACTCCTATTTCTTTCTCTTGAGTTTTATATCGGGTGTAAAACTTTTTGTAAGGGTGTGGTAAAGAGTTGAGATGACATTATGGCTGTACGATTGAACACAACTATGTTGTATGTGCAAACAACAAATTTGATAGAAGCGTTTTGTAATTTTCTCTAAATTCTGAAAGGGTGTTTACTTCTGTTTTTGTTTTAGGGCCTTTCAGTTAACCGTGCATGCAATCCGTTAAAAGGATGTTGTCCTCTCTACCTCTTAAACTGGGCTTCACTCGGCATTCTTCTTTTCCTGCATAATTGTAACTTGTTTTACTTGAAAGGCCCAAGGTGCATTTCTCTTTAGGGTTCGTAAGGGTAAGATTATGCTCATTCATTGATTTCCGGTAGGTCTCATGAAAAATCAATCTTACAAATAATAAATAATAAATAAAATATAAATATTTTGATATTAATTTTATCGCAAAATATGATTGATGAAGGATTATGTTTGGTTGTCGACAGTGAGCGAAAAGTAAAGTGTTAAAAAGTAAAATTGTTTGAAATTTGTGACTAGATCGATACACACATAAAATTTATACATAAGACGACGACGTTTTAAGTATCAAAACAACTATATCAAAATGACGTCGTTTTGATATGATAAGACACGTCAACAACCGTTTATCATATTATCGTCTCGTTATTGATTTAACAATGAAATGATATAAATAAATGTAAAATTAAAATTTAATAAAATTAAAAATGTAATGATATAAATGAATCTAATAGCATAAGAAAGTAATTCTTTTATTTTATGGGTAAAGTATAATAATGGTCACTGAACTTTTCTAAAGATTTCATTTAGGTCCCTCAACTTTTAAAACTTACAATACAGTCCCCTACATTTAGTCCGTTTGCAATATGCTCCCCCAACAGTTACATCGGGGACCATGTTGCAAACAGACTAAATGTTGAGAAACCATATTGCAAATGGACTAAATGTTGAGGGATTATATTGCAAGTTTTAAAAGTTGAGGGACCTAAATGAAAGTTTTAGAAACGTTCAGTGACCATTACTGTACTTTACCCTAAGAACAATTAGAATAGAGCAAGACCCAAAGTTAAAAAGTTGCCTTAAAAATTTTAAATTAAATTCGAATGGGGGATTATTTCCCTCTCCAGACAGCAAAGTACCCTTCCCTTTAACAGAACCACTGGCGCCGACACCGAATCCCACACTTTTCTTTTTCAACTTTGTCAAAATAGCTTCCATCCTAAAATTTAACACTCCTGTCCGAAAAGAAATTTCAATTAATGAAAAGAGCTCACTTTCCTTGTTCTGCAGATCGATCATGGCTTTTGTTGCCAGTTCAATCATTTCATTTACTTTTCTCCTCGCATTAACTTCTACCCAAACTAAATCCACTTCTAAAGAGCATGTATGCAATGTCGAGGAAGGATCCCAAAACAGTCTAAAGAGCATGTCTAACTAGCAGTTCCAAAACTATTCCACACTTCTTCCTTGTTAGATTAAGATGGCCTAATGAGAACCAGATACTAATCTTCAACGGCAAAACTAAAATCTGAGAATCTCAACCTTTTCTCTAATAATCATTCATTTACCATATCTATGTCTACTTAAATCGAATGAAAACCATATGCAACAGCCTCCAGCAGGCTTCTGTAGACTCATCTAATAAGTGTCAACTTATTCGAGAATTTTCTAACTAATAATTTAGAGAAAACAATGAGTTATACAAAAGCGTTACCCATGAATAACTTGAACGAAGCAGGCAATGATCTTTTCTCCTTAGCCCAAAAGACACCGGATTTCTTCGAATGATATAAGCCTGGGTCTACAATGATTGCATTGGTCTTGCTCTTTGGTATCTGCAAACACGAAACAAAGTCAAATTCAAAGAACGCTAGATAGACGACCTCACCATATATAAAGTGGGACAACATGAATTGGCTTCTCACTCTTTCCACCCAATGCTACTCGTGTGCTCGAGGAAGTTGCCTAGTATGAAAAGATGTGCACAATATATGAAACAAAAAACAAAAAGCAATCAGCAGCAGGACTACTGGAACGTGACTAGGCCTATCAAATTCTCAATTTGTTATAATTTTTCTCCAATAGAGTGCAAAATCAAGAGTTGCTGCAAATTCAATTGCAGATGGAAATGATTGCTAATTCACAGTAGGAGACAACCTGGGATTATGCAGTTAATTACCCAGTTCAATCAATGGCAAATCAATCAATTAAACTTGAACTTAAATTAAAGCACATAAATTAAAGCACATAAATATATACTAAATCAATGGTGCACATAAATTAAAGGTGAACCAAGCTTGAACTTGGTCATAGATATACTATAAGCAATTGCTTTCGCCTTTTCGACAACCGTTCCAGGCAAACATTATCGCCAAATATATACTATAACAGTGTCTGTAGTCTGTACATCCCAAGTCACCAACTGTTATCATTATAATTATAATTATAAATACATACAAAAGATACTAAGTGCACCATGGTTCCATGCTCTATCACCATCAACCATTGCTAAAGTTCCATCAACAACATCAAAACCCTACTTATTATATAAATATCATATTTTGCTCTCACTTCAGTTCATTCAATTCCGAACTATGGATCCGGAGCTTAACTGAATTTACTCTAACATCAGCGCGTCCGAGTTCCAAATCCCAATATCTGCATTTCCCTACGTATAAATCCAAATTACCTGTAATCCAATCATAAAAATTTCATCTAATGGCCGATAAGGCGCAAAATCTCAACAACCTAACATTTTCAAACTCAGAATATAACAAAAATCAATTCTTAGTTCTTACCATCTTGAGTCATGAGGGGATAATCAAATGCGCTAAGATTGACGAACCAGTCCCAATCCTTAGCTTCCTTCAACAAAATCGCCACTGCGTGAAGTGTGCTAGCAATGACAGTAGGCCCTTTATAAATCACCAAATTAGCCTTTCCAATAACAATCACATTCCCAAACTCCCTAATCACCCTCTCCGATTTCACATACTTTGCCAAATCTAACCGCTCCGAATCCGAAGTTTCTAGATCGAGATGGAGAAGGTGAATTTGGGGCGCTAAAGAAAAGGGTAAAGTATAGTAATGGTCACTGAATTTTTTTAAACTTTTCATTTAGATTTTCAACTTTTAAAATTTGTAATATAATCTCTCAGCATTTAGTCTGTTTGTAATATGGTCTCTCAACATTTAATCCGTTTGCAATATGGTCTCTGACGTAACTGTTGGGGATCATATTACAAACGGACTAAATATTAGAGGATTATATTACAAGTTTTAAAAGTCGAGAGACTTAAATAAACGTTTTAAAAAAGTTCAGTGACCATTACTATACTTTACCCTTATTTTAATTCTAATGAAAGGGTCAAAACTACCCAAATTATTTTAAAAACCTTTCTTCCTCGTCATTCAAAATCTCAATCTCTCATCTCATAGGGTTCGCTTTTTTTTTTCCCTCCTTAATTATTTACGAAATCAATTATCAAATTGATTCTATTTTTTTGCATGATTAGATTCTTACTGTTCTTCCATTCTCCTATTTCCATCAATTTAATTTCAGTTCATTCTCACGATTCTTGAATTTCTGTATTATTATCTTGTTTTAAAGCTCAATTTTGGTGATCTTTTGACTAGGTTGAAATTCTTGATCAGCTGTCTTTCTTGTAGAAATGAATGATTTTGTATATACAGTAGAAGTGACAGGTCTGTCTCCCAAAGCTACTGAGAAAGATGTTTATGATTTTTTCGCCTTCTCTGGTGCCGTTGAACATGTTGAAATTGTTAGGTTCTTGGATTATTGAATCATATTTAACTGTGTTGTTATATTTATCCTTCCTATTTGCATCTTTTTGAAGGTAGTCATTTGGATGTTTTTATGGATGAAAGCAGGTCTGGTGAATATGCGAGTATTGCCTATGTGACTTTCAAAAATGCTTATTCTCAGGAGACTGCCATCTTGCTTAGTGTATGTATTCTGATTATTTCATTGAGAAGCTTTCGATTGCCTTTTAGATTCTTGCCTTCAGGGCAGTTTTCATCTTTGCATCTATAAATCTACCTATTTTATCATGAAATGTATTGCTGCCGACATCACTTTTCTGGTACAAGTAAAGTTGAACTTTATGTGACTGTCTCGTGTATAACTGTAGATTAATCGTATATGAAATGGATACTATTGAGTTGATTACATATGAATTGGATTCAAGAGAATATATGTGTGCACTTTGTGGGAGGCGTTTTGAAGTATTGAACTTGTAATCATAGTTTCAAAATTCAATATTACATGGAAAATGGATAATATGTGAATATAAACAATTAAAAGAAGTATTCTACTTTACCAACTTCTAGTTGGTATAGCAGGATGAAGTGCTAGGTCCCAGTCAATAGTTGTAATCCTGGCATTGAGAATGGAACAAATTGGGTTTAGAGGGTCGTCCTTAGTATGAGTCTCTTCAATACCCAATCTAGATTAGTTGGCCAATATATCAGATACAGGTTATAATACCAAGAAAGAAAGAAGTATTCTACTTTGGTTCAATAGTAGGAGTATTACCTTGAACTCGGAATATGTCCATTCATGTTTTGAGGAAATTGTATTTGGGGGTTCATATTGGTACAGTTTTTTCCTGCAGTTATGATCATGATGTTCTTTTTGAAACTGACGATTGTCCTGTTGATGTATTTTCTGTCTTTTGATATCTTTATCTCTGTATTTTATTGTTATATCAATCTTTGGGCAATTTTACCTATAACAGCATCAATTAACTTTTGAGTGAAGTTTATCTCTTTGATCTATTTAGTTCCATTACTCTTCCTATGCTACTATATGTGTTCAGGATAATATTGAATCTAATTCATGAATTGTGATTCCCGCTTCATCATGATGATTGTATAATCTGTTTGTATGTTTGAGTCTTAAAATATCTTATCACTGTAGGGTGCGACACTTCTTGATCAACGCATATTCATATCGCGCTGGGGGCAATATAAAGAGGAGTTTGATTTTAGTGGCCCTTCAAGAAGCCAAGAGGATGAAGCAAGTTCATGGGTCCGTTGACTTATCTTTTTTGTGCTCCTGAATTGATCCTTGTGGAAATTTTTACTTTAGTAAATTGTATTCTATCTTCTCATTTTCTTTACCCCCTTTTGTAGCAACCTCCACTGAGAAGCCAATTTGTATCTCATGCTGGAGAAGCTGTTTCATTCGCTCAGGATGCTGTGAAAGCCATGATGGCCAATGGATATGTGTTAGGGAAAGATGCTTTAAGCAAAGCCAAAGCCTTTGATGAATCTCATCAAGTTTCGGCAACTGCTGCAGCTAAAGTTGCTGAACTAAGTGAGAGGATTGGCCTCACAGATAAACTTCGTGTGGGTGTGGATGCTGTTAGATCTGTCGATGAGAGGTACCATGTATCAAAGAACGCCAAATCAGCCATTTCTGCTGCAGGAAGAACCGCTGCAGCCGCTGGAGAAACTGTAGTCAGCAGCAGCTACTTTTCCCTGGGAGCTCTTTGGGTGTCGGGTGCATCAGAAATGGCAGCTAAAGCAGCAGCTGACTTGGGTAACCGCGGTGTTCATCAGTAATTTTTTTATAGCAATACATGCATACAGTTATTGGTACTGTAGATAAGCACCTTCGCATGCATGCATAAATATATATATATATATATATTCTCAAAATAGGACATATTAAAAAGAGATGGGGAGAGCTGTACATGTATATTATTCATTGAAACTTTGAAAATAAATATGCTTTGGTGGTATCGTATATCAAATGCGAGTGGATTTGCAATTACAATCCACAAACCTCTTGCTATGTAGTGGGCGACAGGATGGATTATGGAGGAAGTGGGATTCCATTGCAGTTAGAGAATGATGTGTATAATCTATTTTTACTTTATTGTTAAAATGCTTGAGCTTTAGCCGCGATGTCTAAAGTATTAAATTATGATTTATCTGTTGTGCCCTGAAAAAGATGGAAGTGTATTGACAAGAAGAGTTGATTTGTATTTATTTACTACAGTGTCAAATCCAATTCACCAATGACCCAATTATATATATTCATATTTTTTAAAAATTAAGGTTCGGAGTTTGAATTTATGGTGTAAAAATATCTTATTTGACTTTAGATAATAAGAATAATTATTTTTTATATATTTAGAAATAATTGTTATAATGTTTATATATATATAATTAATTTTTTTATTAAATAAAAATAATTTTTATTACATATATATATTTATATTAGGTCGGATCAGCTATAAATTTAATTAAAAAAACAAATTAAATTTTGGATCAAATGATTTTTTAAACTCTAATCAGGTTAGAATTTTAGTAGAATAATATTTTTTTCAAATCAAATGAGGTTGGTCGAAAATCATCTAGCCGGACCCACGTCCATCCGAGTTAGGAGACCACTAGAAAATATGGCGGCTAATAAACCATCCAATTAAGGAAATCATCACCTGCGGCAGCGGCTAAAAAATATTAGTTATTATTTAAATAATAACATTGATAAAAATTTATTAAAAATATTATTATTTCTATCGATTTTATTATTATTAAGAGTGTTATTAGTTTTATTATTTTTCTATCAATTTTGTTATTATTTGATATTTTATCGAAAATATTAAAAAATATTGATGTTTTAAATAAAAATAATAATTTTTTAAATAATTTTTTATCGATTTTATTATTTAAATAATATCAAAACTAATAACACTTTTTTTAAGTGGGTATTATTGGATTACCGGCGTTTTGGACTAAAATGCCTTATATTATTTTTCTTCAAAAATATCATTCTTATGTCATTGAATAATAAAAATTTCACGAATGTTAAATTATAAATTTATCCTTAAATTATTTTAAATTTACAAAAAAAAAATTATAATTAAAATTTTATATGAAATGCAGTGTTAAAATAAAATTTTACCCTTTCATTAAACTTTTTTATATTTTTAATTTTGTAAAAAAAATAGATAAATTTTATGAATTTAAATTTTTTAAAGAAAATATATAAATATTTTCCAACTTGTTAAAAAATAAATATATAATAAGGACAATTTGATCAAATATACATTTCAATAATCTTTTATTCCTTTAACCAAACATGAAAATCTTATATTCCTGCTAAGCCAACCGAACACAAAATACAATATTCCCAATAATTATATTCCCTGGTAATTCTATTCTCTTGTAATCTTACATTTACATTGGTAATTTTACATTTCTATTGGTAATTTTACATTCACACCGGTAATCTTACAATTCCACTGATAATCTTACATTCCGTAAACCAAACTAACGATCAATTCAATCCAAGTAAATATAGCACACAGCGTAATCCAGAGTCCACTTATCCACGTGTTTGTGTGCTTATTGTTTAGAAATTCATTTTTATTTTTTAAAATTTAAATTGTATTAGTCAATAAACATTACAAACTTTTCTTCAGCCGGCCCGGCATTCTCTCGTCGTTCCCTTCCAAAATGAAAAGCATCCCTTCGGCAAACCAACGGTTCTGATCACATCCTTTTTCCTCCCGCTTATATCAACGTCCCTGATTCAACAATGCCTTCGTCGCTTTTATCTATCTGATCTTGTATTAAGATTCTTCAATGTGAAGTTTTAGTTTGAGTCTACTCGCCGAGGATAACCAGAGTCCGTGCCAAAGGGGCTATGGCGGGAATGAGTGACTCAGTGTCTATCAAGGTCCCCTACAGGAACTTAAAGAAGGAATTGGAGGTTGAGATGATCGACGACCCTCATCTTCGGATCGATCTAAATTCATCTCCTAACTCTCCTTCAACTTCTTCTTCCTCGCCTCCGTCTAGGGTTCCTAATGGAAACACTGATTTATCGTCGCCGATCTACGCCGGATCTAAGGATTGTAACTTGATAACTCTGGTTCTTAGTTGTACGGTCGCTGCCGGGGTTCAATTTGGTTGGGCTTTGCAACTATCGCTATTGACACCTTACATTCAGGCATTTCCGATGCTTTTTTTTTCAGTTCCTTCAGTCTTGTAATTTTTGTTGGTACAAGTAAAATTTAACGGGAAAAAGTAGGCTACTGACTATAAATGTTCTAAAGCTTGAATTTAATGCAATGTGATTGTATTATGCTTAGTTTTATCAATAAATGTCTCTTTATTGGTATTCTTGAATAAGTTAGATTGTAGATGGTATAATACTTTTTCATTATTGTTTAGTGGCAATTTTCCTTTATTTGAAATATCAAGGGCAGTGTTTAATATCAACTAGGTAACAGATACATTTTGCATGTTAAATGCTCATGTTAAGGTATCTCTTTATTTATCATTTTTGTCATTAGCTGTATTTCTTTCGGACTGCTCTGAGTTTCTCTTGAGCTTATAATGCTTTCGTTTTTTTCATAACTATATTTTATTGATTCTTGCAGACACTTGGAATAGATCATGCTTTTTCTTCATTCATTTGGCTTTGCGGTCCAATAACTGGTCTTGTGGTAGGTGGTGGAAACAATATTGCATATAATTATGTATTATCGTCATTACATTATTTTTGAATCCTTATGGGTGTAACATGATATTATATGTTTAACTTGATAGATCTGCTATAATAGCTTGTGCTGCATATTGAACTAACTCATAAAAAGGTTGGGGCTACCATTCATGTATCCTAAGCCCTTATAGAAGCTAGAGGATGGGAGTAGGCTAGAATATATTTGTTTGATTGCATGATAAAGAATTCTTTTTGTCTCAATTCTACCACCAAACTTTTTAATTGATTCAATCAGACCACTCTCTGTTAAAAAAACGGAGAGTCTTACGTGGCTGTTAATAAATTGGCATAATTATATAATTGATCCTTAATATTTACATATTCTATCAATTTAGTTACTATTTTAATTTAATTAAATAAATTTAACTATCCAATTAAAACATGACACGTGTCGGAAGGTTTTATTTATGAATTTTAAATTATTTAATTAATTAATTTTTTAACCAATTAGGTGGTGACACGTGTCACTACCCTAATTGAAATGAAAAATTGAACAACAATTTGAGTTGTGTCCAAAGAGTTTCAAACCTGCGTCCAAGGGAGAGAAGAATAATCAAGCGCCCAAACCGCTAGATAAAGCTCTCCAATGATTTTAACTTACAACAATTTGTATTTGACTTGTATAGTTAAACAAATTATTTGGTTAAATAAATTTCAGTTCGATTAATGGTTACCGAAAAAAATTTGGTTAATTCGATTCGGTTAATAATTTTTAAATAAATTTCGATTCGATTAATGGTTAAGGAAAAATAATTTATTTGAAAATTATTAACCGAACGAAATTAACCGATTTTTTTAACATTAATCGAACTGAAATTATTTAACCGTTAATTGAACCGAAATTTATTTGAAAATTATTAACCGAACCAAATTAACCGAATTTTTTTTAACATTAATCGAGCCGAAATTATTTGACCGTTATTCGAACCGAAATTTATTTGAAAATCATTAACCGATTTTTTTCTTTAACCATTAATCGAACCAAAATTATTTGACTGTTAATCGCACCCAAAATTATTAACCGAATAAAATAAATTATTTTTTCTTTAACCGTTAATCGAACCGAAATTTATTTGAAAATTATTAACCGAACCAAATCAACCGATTTTTTTCTTTAACCATTAATCGAACCAAAATTATTTGACCGTTAATAGAATCTAAATTTATTTTAAAATTATTAACCGAATAAAATATATTATTTTTTCTTAACCGTTAATCGAACCAAAATTTATTTGAAAATTATTAACCGAATCGAATTAACCGATTTTTTTCTGTAACCAGTAATCGAACTGAAATTTATTTAACCAAATAATTTATTTAATGATACAAGTCAAATAGAAATTGTTGTAAAGTTAGAACCATTGGGGAGCTTTGGCCCAACGGTTTTGGCGCTTGGGACTCTTATCCCTCTTGAACGCAAGTTAAAAAATCAATTAATTAAATAATTTAAAATTCATAAATAAAACCTTCCAATCATATATTGACACGTGTCATGTTCTAATTGGATAGTTAAATTTATTTAATTAAATTAAAATAGTGACTTAATTGATAGAATATATAAATATTAAGGATCAATTATATAATTATTCCAATTTATTAACGGACATGTCATCAAATTAACGGCCACGTCGGACTCTCCATTTTTTTTAACGGAGAATGGTCTGATTGAGTCAATTAAAAAGTATGGTAATCGAATTGAGACAAAAAATAGTTTGATGGCAAGATCTATTTATGACCATAGTTTGGGGGTCACCCGTGTAGTTTACCCTTTATTTAATATTTCATTTTTCTCCGTTCATACCCCCAGGGATCTTGTGGTACCTTTAATGCCTATCTGAACTTATGATTTATTGAGTTGTTTCCATTTTGGTCTTAGGTTCAACCTTGTGTTGGTATTTGGAGCGGTAAATGTACTTCTAAATATGGAAGGAGGCGGCTTTTTATTCTTGCTGAAGCGCTCATGATCTCTCTTGCTGTAAGCACTGAAGAAGTGTTTTACCTGTGGAATAATTCATTCTTTTATGCTATGTTTAGATTTTTATATATTCTAAACTAACTTTTGCTATCTAGGTGATTATAATCGGGTTTTCTGCAGACGTTGGATACATATTAGGTGATACAAAGGAGCACTGCAGGTTTCCTCTTCCTCTTCTGCTTTTGATTCATTCTCTTCTCTTGTAGCCAATTCCCCCTTCCCTTTTTCTTCCTGCTGCAAATAATGAAGAGATTGACCAAATAATGTATGCGATGTAGTACATTTAAAGGTACACGAACAAGGGCGGCCTTTGTCTTTGTTATTGGGTTCTGGATGTTGGATCTTGCTAACAATACAGTGCAGGTAAGCCTTACATGACAATTATTTCTTCATTTTATGCACTTGAGCTAATAATGGAAGCTTTTTTAGGGACCAGCACGTGCCCTTTTGGCTGATCTATCAGGTAAATCCCCTTCTTAAGAATAATGGAAAAAAGAAAAAAAAATAAGTCTAAACATAGTAAAATTGTGATGCTATCATCAGTGGGCAGGGTTCAAGCCCTGTGCAACCCATCCCCTTCCCCCAAATTCGTAGTGACAAAAATACCTACCACCAGTGGCCAGGTTTCAAGGCCCGTGCAACCCATCCCCTTCCCCCAAATTTGTATTGACGAAAAAATGTAATGTCTAGGTTGAATGCCTATCATTTAGTAGGCCTTATAATACCACACTTATTTGAATATTGTACATGACAAGATGCTGGGTGCCTATGTTTTAGGTCCTGATCAACACAATACTGCAAATGCTATATTTTGCTTGTGGATGGCTGTTGGAAACATCTTGGGATTTTCAGCTGGTGCTAGTGGGAATTGGCACAGGTTGAAATCTTTTAATCTGCTCTTCGTGTGATGTATCAAACAATTATAGAAACATAGTAATATTGAAGCATTGATAAATAAATATCCAATTCTTACGAATTATGTCGGCACAGATGGTTTCCGTTCTTGGAAAGCAGAGCTTGCTGTGAAGCCTGTGCCAATCTTAAAGCAGCATTTCTTGTTGCAGTGGTAAGTAGCGTATCCATTGAAGTTTTACTTATAAGGCTTTCTAGGATGTTAAAACTGAAATTCTTCATAGAAATGTTAACTGAAGTACATTTGTATGTGTCAGTTTATGCCTTGGATTATGGTATGTCACTTTCACATGTTTACTGATTCTTTAGATAAATAGTTTTAAATACGAGCATGGCATTTTCTGTGTCCGAAGTTCATCTAAAATGCCATTTGCTTTGCGTCTGTTGTGGACCATTAATTTCATTTATTATATCTTTTTTGATTCCATGAGCTATGGAGTAATTTGTTTTCTTCCTTTTTGTTGTTGGGATGTGTATTCTTTAACAATGTAGACTTGTAGTAAGCTTCTCTAAACTTCAAGTGCTTTTCCAGCAGCTAGTTCTTGTGATTGATTGACAATTTTGTGCTTTTGTAGTCCAATGTTTTCGTATCACTTTATTTGATGTCTCCTGTATATGCTCAAAAAATTGTTTGGCATTTCTGCAGGTCTTTCTCTTATTTTGTACTATCATGACTCTATGTTTTGCTAAGGAGGTTCCTCTTCCACAACCAGCAGATCAGCCAGCTCATTTATCAGATTCTGCCCCTTTGTTGGATGGTTCCACACAGAAGGGCTTGCAACACTCAAAATCAAAAGCTGATGCATCCATTGTTGCCAATGATAATAGGAACATTACTGGAAACGGATATGAACGAGTGTCAAACTCCAATCATGCTATCTCTAAAGATAGCAACGCTCAAAATGAAGTTTTCAGTGATGGACCTGGAGCCATACTGGTAAACTTACTGACCAGTTTAAGGCATTTACCACCTGCAATGCACTCGGTGCTTGTTGTCATGGCCCTTAGTTGGGTAAGTTTCAACATTTTCTCTATGCTTTGATACCTTAAAATAGGCATTGAGTATTTATATGTTAATTGAGAGTCGAGTGTTACGATTGTTTTTTTGGGATTAATAGCTCAGCTCATTCATTGGATACTGAAACCTTACGACTTGTTAAACAGAGACCCATACCTCTTTTTAGGGTTTTTATAAAACTTCTTCTCATCTTCCGTAGGCCTCTTTCAACAGAGATTACAATAATTAAATAAAGTGCTACCAAAACACACCTATTCTAAGAGTCCTAAAACAATTAGGCTCTGTTTGATTTTTAAAGATGTTTTATATTTTTATTTTGTGTTTTTCATTTTTTTAAAAATAATTTTCGCTTTTTTTGTTTTTGGAAACTGAAAACATGTTTGGTAAATAGAAATGAAATTTTGTTTTCAATCATGAAAATACAAAAACTTGTTTGGTTACCTATTTTCTTATAATAAAAACATGATAAATAAAATGAAGAAAATCCCCACATTTATATGGATTCAAACTAGGGCCAGAGATTTAATATTTAAAAATCGTTTGAGAATAGCATATTTTGTGTTTATATGGATTTGAACCTGGGTTAATTATCAAACCATTGTTTTCAACTTTTTTGATTTTACGAAACATTTTTAGTGAAAAGTGGACAATGAAAACTTTTTATTGTGTTCCAATTTTTACATATTTTCATTTTATGAAATTAATTTGCAAAATCTTCAACCAAACAAGTTTTCTTTAGTGTTTTCCGTATTCTAAGAAGATGAAAACTAAAATGGTCTATGTTCCTGAAATCAAACAGAGCCTTAATATCTCCTACGAATAATAAAATAGCTTCTTATATTAAGAGTCCTACATAACTTCTAAGAAAAATAAAACAACTTATATTAATTATTACTACGTCTGTAACATGGAGACTCAAGGATCGTTAACATGTTCAATCTGATGTTAGGCTACACAACCCTTTCCCTTTTCCCAATTAGAGTAACGAGAAAAGGAGGAAAAGGAAAGAACCATTTATTTATTTATTTATTTCGTGCGTATTTGGTTCTTATATGCAGCTTTCCTGGTTCCCATTCTTTCTATTTGATACGGATTGGATGGGAAGAGAAGTATATCATGGAGATCCAAAGGGAAATGCTTTTGAAATTAAATTGTATGATCAAGGTGTCAGAGAAGGTGCATTTGGTTTGCTATTAAATTCTGTAAGAACACAAATTGATCACAGATTTCAAGTTTCTCTTAGATATTTTCCTCCATTATTTGAAGATGATATTGATATTATTGTTGGCGGCTTTAGGTGATCGTATTTCTTTCTTATTTAATTCATTAGTTTTACTTCTGTTAATTTTTGGTGTAGGTTGTTCTGGGCATCAGTTCTTTCTTTATTCAACCAATGTGTCAAAAGATGGGGTCGAGACTTGTTTGGGCGATGAGCAACTATACAGTCTTTGCCTGTATGAGTGTTACAGCTATCATTAGTTTGGTGTCTGTCAGAGAATATTCTCAAGGGATTGAACACGTATTTGGAGGAAGTGGAGCAATCAAGATTGCCGCTTTGATTATATTTGCATTTCTTGGCTTTCCTCTAGCTGTATGTTTCAAATGACTTGCAGTAAATTTCTATATGCTCAAGTGTTTGTTTAAAAATTTTGTATTTTTGCTCATTTATTTGTTCTATTCTTCCAGATTACCTATAGTGTTCCATTTTCTGTTACAGCTGAGTTTTTTTTTTTTAAGAATATTAGGTCTCATTAAAAACCCCCTTCTTGATTAATGGAGCTTGTAGGGAAGCTCCTTAATCAGCTGAAGGAGAAAAAGAATGCCTTAGGATTTTATTGAACAATAAAAACACATAAGATACAACCAACAATACAACCGACAAAACCACCCCAACAGAACCAAATAAGCTGGAAACACTCTAACTAAAAACACAAAATCAGTGAAAACAACACTAGTAATCCCCTTACAAAACACATAAAATCCAGACACCACCCTAAACAGACATCAACAACTTTACTGACTCAGCCTATGCCTTCTTTAGCTAAGGCATCAGCCTCTAAATTGGCTGTCCTACTAACCCATCTAACAACACCTTCAAAGGCATTAGCCTATGAGCAATATCTTTAATCAAGAAGGCATATACAACAGGACATAATTCATCCCCTTAATCCAATCCACAACCACCTTACTATCACTCTCTATAATCAGACGGTCTTTGATCCTCTGTCGATAGTTTGCAAAGAAAGACAACCCCATAAGAATAGCCTTTAACTCCATCAATGTAGGCGGTCCCGGACCTGCAGTTTCCTTGAAATTCCCTATAGTAGAACCTGAGGAATCTTTAAGAACTCCTCCTAACCCGCTTTTCTTCCAATCCCTTGTAGTTACAGCTAAGTTGACTGCCGATTCTGGTGGTGGCCAAGGTTCATAAATCATTTGTCTTCAACAGAAAATGCTTGTTACCGTAGTTGTTAAATTCACAAAATTGTAACAATTTGTATGTTTGTGCAGGATTGGCAATTGGAGTTCTAAACCTTGCAATTGTTTTTCCACATGTATGTAATTTGATAAGTCATCACATTTGATTTTACCTGTAATTGTTTCAGACGCTGTCTTACTACTTACGGAGTTCGGTTTTCCTTTTCATAGCTCATAGTGTACTTAATTTGAGGTCCAAATATCTAAGTGCTTTGGGCTCCTTCTGTTTGCTTTATGCTTTTGTTAAGTTGAATGAAAAAGAGATACCCTTTATGTTTTCGCAATTTGGTTAGAATTTGGATGAATCTGATATGTAAGATATTGTTGGTTTCTTCAGATGATTGTATCTCTAGGTGCTGGTCCATGGGATGCTCTATTCGGTGGAGGCAATATACCAGCCTTCATTTTGGCTTCCTTCAGTGCTCTAGCTGCAGGGATTATTGCAACTCTCAGGCTGCCTGATCTGTCAAGTTCCTTCAAGTCATCTGGTGTTCATTTTGGCTGAAGAGTAAAATGGTGACGACCACTCTGTATAAGATGCTTGGAAACGTTGAAATGTTTCCGTATAGCTTCAGAATATGGCTATCATCATTGGTATGTATAATCTTCTTATCATAAAGAAGATGAGCATTACATATCCAAATTCATTTGTAGACATCAATTTTTTTATTTTATTTTAAAATTTATTATTATTATTATTATTATTATTATAATAATTATTATTATTAATATATATTATTTATTAATATTACAAAACCCAAATCGAGGCCCAATTACAAACTTGGTAGCCCAGATCCAGAAGCCCATAACAAACCCTAAACTCAATTTAGGGTTTGTATCATCCAGCCGCCTCTTCAACTACCACGCGGCGCCTCCTCTGCTGCCAACACCACTGCCGACGCTCCACCAATGCCACGCCTCCGATGAAGACTCCAGAAGACTCAGAGCAGCCGCACACGTTGAAGTCTAGAGTGAGTCACCACTATAGTTTGATGACTCACTAAACTTTGCCATATTATCCGGTCCGAAGAAGACATTGTGGTGGCTATAAAAGCCACCACCGAACCTGCAAAAAAAAAGGAGGAGAGGAAGGACCGGAGATAACAAACAACAGCAAGCCAAACAAAACCCATAGCAACAAATCAAAAAGCAAAAGAGAGAATAGAGTGAGAAAACTTACCACCGAGGAAGCTACGCCATAGTCAGAACCTTCGCACGCCGCAAAAGAAATTGAAATACCGAGAGTATTTCTATAGATCTAGGTAACTACAAGGCTTTTTAGAGAAAAAGGACACCAGATTCGTCTTTAGGACATTCGGATCTTTATTTTGGGAAATTTTGAAATTTTCTGGCCACCGGTAGCGGTGGCCGGTGGTGATTGCCGACGCCGTAGCACGGCTGCCGGGCGGTGGCCTCTCTCTCAGTTTTAGAGAGAGGCGAGAGAATTCTGGTTCTCTCTCAGTATTGAGAGAGAAGGGAGAAAAGAGAATGAGAGAGCTGGCCCTTCGGGCCAGCCATTTGGGGAATTTATACCCCTTCCTGAACGACGTCGTTTTGGGAAGGGGTATATGCGTAATTTACATGTATGGCTAAACCCTTTCCATAGCCATCCGAGTTTTGTAATCATTCATTTTAGTCACTAAAACTAACTTCTGAATGTTCTAATTCAGTCTTCGAATTTTATTTTATTATGTTTTAATCCTTACCAGTATTAAATAAATATATTTATGATAAATATCATATTTAGTCCCTATTAATTTTAATATTTCTATTTTAATCACTGATTAAATAAATAATGGTTAATTACACTACTAGTATTTATATTTTATGATAATTCTAATCATGTCTCTTAAATATTTATATTTTATAATTTGATCATTAAATTTTATATAATCTTAATTTTAACCATAAGTTTTATTATTTTTAAATTTTTAAGTTCATATATTTATAAATATGATCCATTAGTTTTTAATATTATTACTTTTAATTTTTTTCATTTTCATTTTAATTATTGTTATTTTATTTTATTATTACGTTTGATATATGTTTAAATTATTATCTTCATGATAATTTTATTATTATTATTAAGTTATATAAATATATTTATATAATATTTATTTATTTATTCTATTTGTTTATTCAATAAAAATCCTATTTATAAATTTAATTTTATAAATTACTTTTAAGAAAAATAAACATATTTTGATATGTATTTATTATTTAATATCTAAGAAAAGAGCTGTCTTAAAATACCTAGAAGTCCTTTTCTGATATTCTTAAATAAATAAATGTCCTACTTTTATAAATTGTATATATTAATCTATTTTTTAGATAAATGTTTTAATATTTATTTATTTTTTAATATCAAAGGAAGGAACTGTCTTAAAACACCTAGAAGCTCTTTTCTGATATTTCTAAATAAATAAATATCTTATTTTATATAAATTAATAAATTTACTTAAAATTATAGTAATAAATTTCAATTAAATATATTTTGAATTTTTAATTTTTAATAATAGAGACAATTTATAATTAAAAAGTACCAATTTTGGGCGTTGTAGGGGTGCTAATCATTCCCTAAACGTAACCGACCACAAATCCCTTTTTATTATTAAAAAGAACGAATTTTTGGTTAAAATGCAGATCAATTTATCTTTTAATTGATGTTTTCTTAAAAACTCTTTTAAAAGATATTTTTTAGGTATTCGACCTACCTGACCCAAAAGGCCGATGGCGACTCCCAAATTATTTTCAAAACCATTTATTCACATCACTTTTCCCGTCAAGTATAATATTTCGTACCCGGCCGAAAACCGGTTACGACAGCTTGGCGACTCCGCTGGGGAACTGGTCAAACTTTTAAAAATCAATTATAAATTGTCTCTATTAATTATAAATTAAAATTTCATATATTTAATTTATAATTTTTTATATATATATATACATATTATTTTTGTAGTATTTATATATATTATTAATATTTCATTTTATTTACAAGTATTTTATTTCATTATTTATTTTTCTGTCAAAGGTTTGAACATTTCTCCTCACACACAACACTTGCATTGCATAACATAAAGCTCTATAATTGAGTTGTCCCTTTTAAGTGGGAGTGAAAGCGACGTCTTCGTGAGAATTTATTCTCCGTGTCAGACCTAGCAAGTAACTTTTGGGGTTCATATACTCTATGTCTTCGAGAGAATTTATTCTCCGTGTCAGGGCATAGAGAAATGTATCCCCTCGAATTGAACTCGGTCCGTTTAAGTCTGTAATGGACTAGGATTGAGGGTTTGATAGCCCAAGGGGGCATCAACAAGGACAGTTCGAGTACCTTTACTCCTAGAACTGAAAACCTGCATATAATAAACCCTAGAAACTCTCTCGATCTGAAACCATGCCGAAATTTTGTCAGTAGGTATACACAAAGGAGAAATAAGCTCTAGCTTTTAATTTATTTTATTTCCTTTTCCTGAATAAATGCATGCGAACTAGAAATCGTGCGGTTAAGTTAAATTTTCCAAACAAATCATGGAACTAGAAAACATGAGGTTGAGATTTATACATTGATAAATAGATTTTTTTAGTTGGTACTAACTATTCTATTTTTTTTTCATGCATATTACATTGCTCTAATATGTTCATATTGATTTCTTTTGTTTGCATTACATGATCATGGCATAACCAAAAGGTGTTGGCTTGAAAGACTGTTCATCATATTGGAAAGAAATCGTAAATGGACAAAAAGTTTTATGATCAAACAAAATATGATACGACCAAGGAAAGACATGCTGAAGAAACTACGAGGATCGAGGGAAGTTCTGCACACAGAGAACCTGTTATATTAATACCAAAAGTAATCCATAAAGATTCTGCCAGATTGATACCAAAAGCAGTCTATGGTAAGAGTATCAGTCGGGACATTCAGAGTAGTGGAGATTTTTATGAAGCTCAAGCATGTTATTTGAAGGACTTGAACGACCAAAACGAGAAATTGAGCACAGAAATGAAAACCATGCATGAAGATTTTCAGAAGATCAGTCAAACCTTTCAAAATGCTGGCCTAGGAAGTACCCCAGAAGAATGGATAACAGGGGTCACCAAGCTGAAAAAGAACTGCAACATATATAAAGATCTTGTTCAAGAACTTCTTGGACAGAAAAGATCTCTTACAAGGGAAAATGAGCAACTCCGAGAAGTGACAGAAAATGAAAGAGAATGTCATGGAAGAGGTTGCAGTCCAGACAAGCAATATGTCCCTAAAGTTGATAGACTAATTTGGCTTTGGAGAAGTTAGGAATGAAATATATCCCTACATGTAAAGTTTTGTTTGATGTACCGAAACTTTTGCGTTCAATGAAATCTGTTCTAAGATGATCACTCTTGAGTAACACCTTTTCATACATGCATTTGTATTTTGCATTTGTACATTTTTACGTTTGTATTTACATTTACATTTTTAAATTTACATCATGCATTAAAACATATTTAATTAAATAATAATGTTTATTTATTTTCAATATCAAAGAAAAGGGCAGTCTTAATATAACTGGATGTCCTATTCTGGTATTTTAAATAATTTACATTTACATTTTTACATTTGCATATTTACATTTGGCATCTTTGCATTTGTATTGCACAATTTGTATTCTTGTTATTACATTCACATATTTACATTTGCATTTGGCATCTTTGCATTTTTATGTCATAATACATTAAAACATTCATTCATTAAAATAAGGATTTCAAACGAAGTGATCTTGGTTTTTCCTTGAAGCAAGAACGCTCAGCACGACACAAGAAAAATGTCTAAAGAAACTGAAGATAGGCTAGCCAAATTTGAGATAAAGCAGAAAGAAATACAAGAGGAATTGAGGAGCAAGTTGGCACAAATCGAAGCTAATTCTCAGATCGATCTACTGAACAATATGAAAGAAATGATTGATAAGCATTTGA